GCTAATTGTTCGTTAAAATACCTCCAGCAAATACGGTATTTAGAATCGTCGCGTTTATACCAGCAGGTTGTCCCTTTACTGAAATTGGATATTTTAAAGGCCTTGTATGTCATTGTTCATCTGGTTAAAATAGAATCACGACTGCAGTCAATCTAAGGTGCGCAAGCTCTACTTACCGAAAACAGTAGCATTTTTAAATGGATAATTTGAAAACATGTTGAGAGCATAATGGACTAATGATTACGGATTCGGTTAGAAAAGTCCCTTATAAGGCCGGTCAGTTTAGAGTTTGTAGGAATCTAAGTAGTAGTTGTACTCGGGTCTCTTCAATCATCAGGCCAAATCCCTAGGTTAAAGGTAAGAGGCAGCAGTCACCTGTGAGAGGGATTTTTTGTTTACAGAAATCCCCGTTGTGCAGTCTCAGGCGGCAGTGACCACTGGCAAAGTCAGCGCTCGTGTTGATTGCATTCAGATAGACCCGAGAATGAGATGGTGGTGGCAGCTGTTTAAGTAGGATTGCTGAGCAGGTTGAAGTGTTCTGCAATTGGTGTGTGTGATATTACCATAGGGGTATCTTGTCTGGTGGTGTAGGCTCTGTCGGTCAAGGGTGGGGGAAAGGAACGTGTTCAAGTGGCGCTTGGGCAGCCGTGACAAACTGGACGCACTTGTGTGTGTGTGTTCGAATGGAAGTCGGTCCAGTCTCTGCAGGTCAATGCGTCTGAAAGCGCTGACTGAGGTGTTGAATGACTTAGAGGCAACCGGCCTTGAAAAAAACGCCGGACAAAGCACTGTTGGGCGTCGGCTACATGTTGCTATACGTTTCATTACGGTTTGATGACGCTAACTAGAACGCACAACCCTATAAATCACTTATTACTGACATTGACAGTTCACAAAAAGAAAACAATCACGTCACGCTCAATCGTGTAAACAAAGTGATCGTTGTTGGCACTTTTGGTGACTCGTTATCGAAGCTTTTTTTTCAAATCTCATTGAGGTGTACAGTCCCATCATAAAAAGGAGCCATTGAGCGTGTAACCCATGCGGTCCTATAAAAACACTGGTAGCCCTCTTTATGAATGATTTGGGGGATTGGCCAATAAAGGTGAATATGCGAGTTCCAGGAAGCAGTTCAGAAGAAGAGGGTGCGATCACTGGAACAAGAGTTTTATTGTCCTGACGTTTAGAATTCCGTCGGGAATCCTTAATCATAGGAAATGATATCATAGTCATAGTATCTGCGCGTGACTATGACTATGATACCATTACCTATGATCAAGGATTCCCGACGAAATCTGAAACGTCAGGACAGTAAAATTGTTGTTTTAGTAGTCGCATCTCCTTCGGATTTGGGGGATGTTGGACTTCTGACTGGAGGCGTTATTGTCCCTAATTGCAGTACCATGAAAAACCTGCTTCTTTGCAAGTCGCTGAGCCTCCTCTAATCAGTCAAAATTTCGGACACATCTTGACTGCTGACAGCTCATCGTCGTGCAGCCGACCGTATCATCCCTAAGCTGCAGCTCCTAGTAAATAAATAAATTGTATGTTTAAGGCCCAAGGGACCCTTTCATTACAAACTTAGTGCTGTGGTAAAGATAAATACAAAGTTGGTAATCGTGGCTGTTAGACGTAGAAAGTCGGATCCGATTTACAGCGGACCCTCTTATAAAACAATAGTCAACAATATTAGGTAAATATGGAAACTAAGAAGGCAGTGAAAAAAACTCCTATATCAGTGGCAGACTTCAGCGAGCCACCGATTTCTAAAAAAAATAGGAGAAAAAAACTGCTTAAATGGGTAGTTAGATTGATATGATAAGATGTAGTACACTTTTGCATTTTAGAAGATTGTAGTAACATCGCCGTATCTGTGCAGTATGGGGTGGTTGGTTTAAAATCTGAGGATCTGGATTGTGTTCGTCGCCTTCTGATTCATCTTGATACCACGCTCACCAGTAGGTCTGCATGACCAGGACGTCAAGGGACAATTGTTCTTCCTTCTGTCTCCTATGCGACCAGAGTGCGGGGAAGCTGTGGCTAAGCACTACCTGAAAGCTGAATATTCTAGTGGGTAACTGTACACCGATCTGTTTCAGGATGTATCCATCCTGGCTGATGCATTGTTTGCAAGCTAATTGGAACCCCAATAGTTAAGTTACTCGCTAACTTTTAGTAATAATGATTTTTTACCGACAAACACAGAGCACACCACTATGGCTACTTCTGCTTCATTGGGCGTCATCAGGTTACCCACTATCCAGTTACCCACTACTATACAGTCCGGATCACAAACCGACAACACGGTTTACCCGTGGCTCAAGGGTTAGAGCGTTCGCCTCTGGCCGGAGAGACGCGAGTT